CATAGGGACCTTCCCACTGTTTGGTGACTGAATTCCACACCCGAACCTTTGCTCGAGACTGATGTGCCTCGTCTGCAGCCTGCAACAAGAGATGGTGATTCAAAAGGACAAGGTTATTTGAGTTCTGCTGCACCATAAGATGATTGATGGTGTACAATGTTTTTGCCAACCGACTGTGCGGGGTTTCACTCCCTCGGTGCCCCGTTCCCGGAGCCCCCACAGCCCGCGGCAGGAGTGGGGATGGAGCCGGCACAGCTTGAGATGGGCAGCACAGGGCTTTTGGCTGTTCCCAGCACTGGGGGCGGGGGAACCTGGCCCGGGAAAAAGGAGAGGGAAACTGGCAAAACTGGGGGCTGCAGATCCAAACTGGGGCTGGCTGGGGACCCTGGCTGGGCACTGCCAGCCCTTGGTGCTCCTCTAGGGAGATCTGGGAGGGGGGAACGCTGAGAGGCCTGGGGGATCCCAGGAGTGGTATCAAGGCAGTGACTGGGATTGTACTGGGATCATATTGGGATCATACCGGGAGCAGCTGGGCCCATGCCAGGGCAGACTGCAATCACACTGAGGGAGACTGGGATCATACTGGGATGGAGTAAGTGTCGCTCTAGGACACGAAATAAAATGACGTGGACACTGGATTCTCCAAGGTAAAAAAAGAAGGAAAGTTTAATTCTGACTTCTGAAAGTTTAATTTATAGATTTCCAAAAGTGACAGTGGATTGGAGGATGACAGTGCCACCTCTCCAATGACACTGGACAAACCAACAGTCCATCAAATTTCTCCTCCTCCATAAAAGAATGCAAAACAGTAAGTTATTTACATAAAGTGCGTGAGAAAGTTTGTTACAAGAATGTAAACATCAGAAGGCTTAGAAGGAACTTAAAAAAACAGGGCAACATCTGACCCTTTTCCATTAAAAAAAAAAAGAAAAAATGAACAATGTGAAAAAAGAAAAATGAACAATGTTCTGTGTCCATTTGTGGAGGAATCATTGGAGTGATCACTCGCATTGTCTGCATCCAAGTCATCACTCAGTGATTCACCCACTTGATGCCTTTCAGGTTGGTCACAGTTTCCATTTTGCCCGTCGGCCGGATTCTGTCTCTGCGGTCACAGGTCAGGTCAAACACACTTTGAAGGTACCCAGCATACCCCAGGATCTGTGGATACGCAAGCATACCCATGCCCCAAAGCGATAAGATCATAGGGACCTTCCCACGTGTCCACCGTGACATGCACATACTTGAGCCGACCAAACTCAGCAATCTGGGTGACATTGGTCTGCCAAAGCTCCAAGGCCCTAAGGCCTCTGGGGTTTACCCCTGCCAGCAAAGGTGCAGCGAGCACGTGACAGTCGTCACACAACTCGACAATGTCATGAGCCTCAGTTGGTCCACCCTGATTACCCACCAGAGCAGCCACACAGGAGAACAGCCCTACGAGTGTGGGAAGTGTGGGAAGAGCTTCAGGACGAGCTCTGATCTGATCTGCCACCACAGGAGCCACACTGGGGAACGACCCTACGAGTGTGGGCAATGTGGGAAGAGCTTCAGCCACAGCTCCCACCTGATCTGCCACATGGGAATCCACACTGGGGAGCAGCCCTATGAGTGTGGGCAATGTGGTAAGAGCTTCAGTGAGAGCTCCAACCTGATCCGCCACTGGAGAATCCACACGGGAGAACGGCCTTACAAGTGTGAGGAGTGTGGGAAGAGCTTCTGTGAGCATGCCAACTTGACTGTCCACCAGAGGAGCCACACTGGGGAACGGCCCTATGAGTGTGACAAATGCAGCAAGAGGTTTCAGACCAGCTCCAGTCTCCTCCAGCACCAGCGCATTCACACAGAGGAGAGGCCCTTCCGCTGCCATGACTGCAGCAAGGGCTTTAGGCACAAGTGCAGCCTCGTCACTCACCAGCGCATCCACACCGGGGAGAGGCCCTACGAGTGTCCCCAGTGTGGGAAGAGCTTCTCACAGAGGTCAGCCTTGACCCAACACCAATGCAGCCAGCACTGAGGGAAGCCGTGGGAGTGCCCTGAGTACAGGAACAGCTTTGTGTGCTGCTCCAGCTCCCCAGCTCCATCCCCCACAGGAGGATCCATACTGGATGATCCCCAGTGACCCCCGGTGCTGGGGCAGAGCCCCAGTGATCCATGCTGCTGGTGATCCATGTTGGGAAGACACCTGGCTGGGGGCTCCACATTCTCCTGGCTCCCTGTGGGCACCTGGACACATCCACTGACCAACATCAGAAATCCATTGTGGAGAGCAGATTTGTCAACTTCTGACCCCAGAAAAATCTTACTTTTTGTGTCTTTTGATGGCATCAAGTAACACTGGCTGGCCTTTGAGGTCTTCTCCAACATAAATCCATCCTTTTAGTTCTCTCTGGCCCATGGGAATCTTCCACAGCCAAATGGGGTTGGACTGGGGCAAAACCCATGATTCTGGAGGTGGTGGGGTAGAAACCCCTCCAAAAAAAGTTCTGTCCATCCACCCAAGCATGTGGATGCTCTGCTGGCAGGGACACGTAGATTCTTTTGTTTTGGCCTTCAAACACAAAGGTTTCTGTTCATACCTTTGAAAGCCCTGAAACTGGGGTAAAAATAAAGACATTGAACTAAGGCATGGATGAGGATATGTGGTTACACAGCCATGGGTGGGGACCTGAGTTGGAAGTGGCCATGGGGGGACATGGAAGGACATGAACATGGATGGGAACATGAACTGGGACAGCATCAATGCCACCACAGTGCCGCCAGCACCAGCACCTTCATCTCAGCCATGGTGAAGCGCTGCCTGGTGCAGTTCCTGCCACCATTGTGATGTCCCAGCTGAATGTCACCCCTACCAGGGCAGGATGGGAACTTGTTCAGCTGGTGACAAGTGGCCCAGGAGCAAGTGACAGCCACCAGGGTGTCCCAGGGCCATTGCGCTCAGGGGACTCCAAACACCCCTGGGGACAGGGCAGGGGTCAGTGTCACCTGTGGGGTCATGTGGGCCCATGCTGGGTGTCACCAGAGGCGTCCTGGGGGCAGGGTCCCCACAGGTGTGGTAACATTGTCCCTTGGTGTGTGTCCTGGTGGCATTGTGTCCCTTCCGTTTGTCCCCATCCCCTGCCATGGCTCCCTGTCACCCCTCTGTGTGTCCCTGTGCCCCCTGCGAGTCCCTGTCCCCATCTCCCCCGTTTGTTCTTGTCTCCTTCTGTGTGTCCCAGTCCCTCCCACTATGTCCCTGTTCCCTGCTCCCGCTGGGGCAAAGTCCCCGAGGTCCCTGGCCCGGGGCAGGGTGTCCCTCTGTCCTGCAGGGTGTCCCCCTGTCCCTCAGCATGTTCCCATGGCTGCTGCTGGTGCTGAGCACAGGTAGGGGCACGCCTCAACACCCTGTGACAGCCTGTGACCCTGTGACAACCATTGTCCTCTGATTTTGGGTCCTCCCTCCCCCAATTTTGGGCCCTTTCCCCGTGTTTTGGGTCCTTCCCCACCCATTTTGGATCCTTTCCCCCCTATTTTGAGTACTTTCCCCTCTGGTTTGGATCCTTTCCCCCAATTTTTGGAACTCTCCCCTTGCTTCTGGTACATTTTTGCATGCATCCCCCCCACCCAATCCCTTTTCCAGCCCTTAACTCCCCTCACACCTCATCTCCTGTCCCCCGCAGGCATGTCCCCAGATGTCCCCACTGTGCCACATGGACTTGGTGCTCACCATCCTGGACGCCCTCGAGTCCCCGGCCCAGGACTGTGGCTCTCCTCTTCCAGGAGATCCAGAGCTGGTCTGGCTTCCAGGGGACACTGGTGGCACCGGGGCTCAGGGTGGGTGGCCTGGTGGGGTTGGTGGGAGGGGGTTTGGGGTCATCTTGGGACTGACCGTGGGTCTTGTCCACTCTGCAGTGAGGAGGGGCCCCAGCCAGGGAGCCTAAGATGGACCGTGGCGGGAGAGGTTGGACACAGGTCCAGATGGACACCAGAGCCATGGATCCCAGTCTGGATGGTACCACGGGGACCAGGGTGGGGGGACACAGGGACTGTCTCCAAAGTCCCCAAGGTCGCCTTGGGGCATGCTACAGCCAGGGCAGCACGGGGGCACGGGGCAGCATCCTCGGGGGGATGTGTGGGGTGGAAGTGGCGGGGGGTGACCCCAAAAATGTCTCACCTGCCACCCATAGGATGTGAGCCACCCTCGCTTTGGGGCGCTGGTGACAAATTGGCGGGTGGAGGTGACAGAAAGTGCAGGTGCCACCTCGGGGATGGCAGAGAGAGGGGGTCCTGCGGTGTCCCCATGGTGACCCCCCGCTGAGGGGCACCCCAGGGGGACAAAGGGGGACTCAGGGGTGTCCCCAGGTTTCGGGGGAGTGGGGGAGAGGGGTCTGGTCCTGCCTGCTCCTGGGGCATGGGGGTGGCAGGGCACATGTCACTCTGTCCCCCCATCACCCTGTTCCTCTGTCCCTGGCAGGGATGGGGGCTGGCGTGGGCAGCCACTGGGTGGGGACCCCCTGGGTAGGCAGGAGAACCCAAAAATTGGGACCCCTGGGTGGGCAGGGGCTCCTTGGGGATGTGGGACCCCACAAATTTGGGACACCTGGTGTGGGCACCCAAAAAATTGGGACACCTGGATGGGCAGATTTGGAACCCTAAATATTGGGGACCCCTCAAGGTGGGGATGCCAGGTTGGGGATGCCCATCCCACCATGCCCAAATCCAGCCCCTGGACTACCCAAAATAACTCTCCCCATCCCAAACCCACCCAGGGACTCCCAAAATCCCTCTCCCAACCCCACAACTGCAAATCCAGCCCCAAAAATGCCTCCCCCCATCCCGCCACCCCAAATTCCTTCCCACAAAAAGACTCCCCCGCCTCCCACCACACCCAAATTCAGCCCCTGGACCCCCCCAAACGTGACTCTGCCCATCCCACCAACCCCAAATCCAGCCCCAGGATCCCCCAAAATTACTCTCCTCATCCCACCACCCCGAAATCCACCCCCTGAACCCCACAAACTCTACTCCCCCCCTCACCCCCCGATGGAGGTGGAAGCCCACCCGGCCCCATCCTGAGTTCCCCGCCCTACTGAAGATCTACAAATGGCACCATGACCGCTGCCACCCCTGGAGGGGACACCGAGAGGGTTGGGGGTCCCGAGGTGCCAGCGCTGGGCACGGCTGCAGGGCTGGAAATGCTCCTGCAGCCACCCTGACACCGGGGGCGACAGGGATGTCCCCAAGGCCAGTGCACGCTGGTCCCTGTTCCAGAGGGTGTTTTCCACCCCCTCCAAGCACCCAAAGAGCCACAGGGACCCGAGGGGACACGAGGAGACATGAGGGGACACAAGGGGACAAGGCCACCCCTGCCGTGGTACCTGCACCCCGTGGGCAGGAGGAGGGGACACAGCAACAGCGGAGCCAGGGCAGAGCTGGGGGTGCAGGATGGGGCAGGTGAGGGGGGCATGGGTGGGGGCTGAGGGGTTATGGGGTGGGGGAAAATTTAGGGTGATGGGTGGGGGGGTGATGATTTTTGGGGTGATTATGATGGTTGGGGGGTGATGATGGGGATGGTTTTGAGGGTGATGGGTTATGGGATAGTGATGATGATGGGTGGGGGATGATGAATTTTGGGGCTGACAATGATGGGTGGGCAGTGATGGGGATGGTTTGGGTGTCAGTTTGGGGGGGTGATGAATTTTGGGGTGATGATGGTGTTGGGTGGGGGTGATGAATTTTGGGGTGTGGGGTGGCAGGTGCTGGTCTGGCACAGCCCCCCAGGGTGCCTGGTCCTCCCTGTCCCCAGGGGATGTTCCTGCATGTCCCCATGCCAGGCCTGGCACTGATGATGGCACCGGGCCATGCCCCATGGTTGCCGTCCCCACGGGGCAGACACGGAGCCACCCCAGCTTGGCCCCACGTCAACTCGTCACTGTCATACTGTCACACCCTCCAGCATTGCCACCCCATGGCCACGTGTCTACTGGCACTGCCACGCTCATGGTGGCATCTCCATGGCTGTGTGTGTCCTGCTATCACCACACCCATGGTGGCACCTCCATGGCTGCTTGTCCCCTGGTGTCGCCACACTCGTGGTGGCACCTCCATGGCCACCAGGAGCGGAAGGGAGATATGAAGAGCCCCCGGTGGTGCTGTTGTCGCTGTCCATGCCTGTCCTGTCACAGCTCTGCCACCTCCGGCCGTCTGGCTCAGCCTTTATCCCACTCCTGGCCCGCCCCTTTCCCTCTCACTCCGGGAATCAGTGGCTCTGGCAGGGATTAATCTGAATGTGGGGGCTCCACAGGAGAGCCCGATCCTGGGCAGACGGACCCGGCCGGGGCTGAGCGGGACCCGGGCGAGGGGTGGGGGAAAGGCACGGTTCAGCAGTCATGGGAAGGACAACGCCTGGAGAAACCTTTCCAGGAAACAAACGTTTCACCCCCTTCCGCTTCTTGCCCCGGATACCCCCCTTCCCCGTCGGGGCCCCTGGGAGCGGGACGAGTGAAGCCAGCCATGGACAAGGACCCTGGGAAGGGACAGAGATCCAGGGAAGTGGCAGGGACCCTGGTAAGTGTCAGGGACCCGCGGAAATAAGAGGGACCGGGAGGTTTTGGGACTCAGTGGGGCTGGGGATGTGTGTGGGGGAAGGGTCTGGGTTGGGCCAAGGCTCCGCTCCTCCCGCACCACCCCCCGCGTCCCACTGCTGGCAATGTCACCAGCGGGTGACCAGCGAGGACGGGCAGGTCTGAGCACCAGGACAGGGGATCCAGGAGCTGCCATGGGTGGAGATTGGGGCGTTCAGGGGGAAGGGGGACTCAATTTCCAGCACCCCCAGCCCCCCTCCGTCTGTTCCCCCCAGCTGTCAATCAAACCCTCACTGCTGGGGATACCCAAAAACCACGGGGACCCCCCCTGACCCCTCCCCACCTGCCCAGCCAGGGGGGAGCTGAACTTGAGCAACAGGGACACGTGATGGGGTGTCCACTGCTCCCAGTGCCCCCTCCCAGTGCTCCCAGTTCTCCTTACAGCTCCCAGCAGGATTCCCTGGTTCCCCTCCCTGCTCCCAGTTCCAACCAGTGCTCCCAGCTGACTCTCAGTTCACTCCTGGTGGACTCAGTGTTGCTCCCTGCAGTGCCATCCCAGTTTCACCCCTTATCTCCCTACAAGTGCTCCCAGTGCCATCCCCGTGTCACTCCCAGACTCTCCTCAGTGCTCCCAGTTCACTCCCAGTGCTCCCAGTCACCCCCTGGCTCCCTCCACCATCTTTTCAATTCCTCTCGAGTCTGGGCTCACCCCAAACTGACTCTGGCTCTTTCAGATTCATCAAGGGCAGAGCAAAGGGGAATTTCTGTGGAAACTGCAGAACCCCTGTCAGCACCAGAATTCCCAGTGTTTCACCCACTGTCCCAAGGCAACACCTAAACCCAGCTTTTCCCAACTAAACCCGGCTTTTCCCACCACCAACTCTGGAAAATTGCCTGTACCAAGGACCCAAAATCCTGGACACAGCATCAAAGTAGAGACACCAAACTTCCTGTGACCCCCAAATCCTGCAGCTGCTTTGCCAGCCTGGAGAACAACTCAAGATCACCCAGAGCACAGAGTTGGGGACAAGGACACCCCAAGACCCTCAGACCTCCTAGGGGGAGGTGGGGGGTGAGGACATCAAGACTCCCCAGGCCTGAAGAGGTGCCTGCAATGGCCCCTCAACCCTGTTGGGATGATCCCCCCGAGTTCAAACCCCCACATGGCTCCCCCTGAGTTGTATTGATTGGGTTTTACCTGGGTTTCCTTTGTTTCCAGGGAAGATTTCTGCAGGGATTGAGCCATCCCCATGGCTAATAATAACCTGCCTTTCTCCCACCCCTGTGTTATGAAGAATTCATCCAGATGTGTCACAAATGACCTCCACTTCTTTCAAACAGGTAAAAGATACCACCTTTTCCCTGCTCTGGTCTGTCCCCACAGGGAGGACTTTGGTGTCTGTGCCAAGGGCTGTGCAGCCACTTTGGGGTGGAGCAGGGGCTGAGGTGGGTGGATGTGGAGCAGAGATCCTCCCCACCTTCAGGACTTGCTCTGCCCACCCCAAACACACACTTCAGTTGTTTTGACCCATTTAACCATTTCTCCAGTCTCCTCCACCAACCAGCATCAGCCACTGTCAGAAAATCTTGCTGTTTTCAATGGCTGCAGCTTTAAGTTCGACATGGCAAAAGTTTGGGGTGCTGGAGACAGCAGGGATTTCCAGCCTGTGTGTTCCATACTTTGTCTAAAAAGCTGTTGATATCTGGATGTTTAGACACTTTCTGAGTTGCATTTAACATTTGAAGATGTAAAAAGCTTCATCTCCACAGCACACCTCAAGGTTCACTCCACTAATCCCAGAGCAATTCCTGCCCTCTGCCTGAAGACCCCAGTCCCAGCCCACTTTAGGCTGCTCTAATTCAGCACTGCCAGTCCCACCCTGATGGACTGAAGTGCCTGCAGTCCATTTCATGAGGCTCAAAGCTAACAGGAAGTTCTCAGCTTTAATTTTCAGCTGGCTTAGCCCTGAAGCAGGTCACCAGAGTCACCTAAATCCCCAGAAATGCCCCAGGGAAGGGACAAAGTGCCCAGCCAAGGTGCTGAAGTGGTGACTTCCACTGTGCCAACAGCAGTCCTGGGACTGCAGCCTCAGATCCCTGGGGAGCCACATTTCCTCAGGAGCAGCTGTCTGATGGATGTTTAAAAACATCTTTAGCAATTAAGACGGTTCTTAAGCAAGAACTTTGCATCTTTAGCAGTTCAGATGGACAGTTCTTTCCTGTGCCTCCATGACAGCCTTCAAAATGGAGCAAACCCAGTGATTTCAGGACACGAAAGATCCCTGCAGGAGGAGCTCAAGCTCCCAGATGTGTCCCCAGTCCTTCCCTCTCTGTTGCCAGCAGAGCTTTAGGACAGCACCCAGAGCCCCCGTGCTCACAGCAGGTGAGCTCAGCTCAGCTGGCAGTGAGGTTGTGCCAGCTCCCATTCTGGCAGCCCAGAGCTGGGGGGGCTCGTGGTGGGTCACGGTGGGCACAGACTCAGCCGTTCACCCACAGGTCTGTGTTGTCCCAGGATTCACAACAAAATCTCTTTCTCCCACCCTGTCAGAGAGAGCAAAGTCCCAGCACCTGCTGCAAGATTCAAGTCTCCATGCACAGGATTTCTGCCAGGGACAAGGGGACACTCAGCCTCCCCCAGGCAGCACGTCCTGCTCTGTTATACACCACAGCCATGGCCATTCTGGGGCCAGAGCAGCAGCAAGTTCAGGCTGAAGAGAAAGTTCTTGTCAGAGCCCTTACAGCTCACACCCGTGTTCCCAGCAACACTCAGAAGGTCACAGTGTGGTTGCCAGGTGAAGAATCATTTGCACCTGGTGGGTTTGATGCCTTAGGATTTTAGCTTTTATATTTTTCATATATTTTTAATCCTGCAATTCTTTACTGTATAACTATAAACTCCATATACAGTGTTAGCTACTGCTTTCCCATTTTGGTCAGACAAAACAATTCTTCTTCAGGCCTGGGAATCAAGGACACCTTACTGCCTCAGGCCCTGAGAAATGTAGACAAAAGTGAGTTTGGGGGGAGCAAACCTGGGGTAAATTACTTCATTACCTGAAGCTGTAATTGGAATATTAACCCCCCAATATGCAAATGGACCCAATTTATAAAACTGTGAAAACCTGTCACCTGTCATCCATTTTTTGAGTGTAGCTCCTGGGGTGGGGGCTTTGTCTGCCTGAGATGTACCTGAAGGCCCTTCAATAAATATAACTGCTCTTAATTCCCTTAATTTTGTCTGGCCTCTGTTTTTACCTCTGTTTTAAGGTAGCCCCAGAAAAGGCATCAGGTTAATACAATGCTTATTTTTAAAAACCCATTGGCCTATGGAACCACACAATGCTTTTTCTGTAGGAAGAAGACCTGGAAAGCAACCAGCCCAGTTGTGCCAACTTCTACCAGTTCAGGTGTGACTTAGGGGTTGCCAACCACCAGGGACCACCAAAGAGACCCCCCAGGACAGAAGGACATGTGCAGAAAGGGACATTATGTTCATAATTTTGAGGAATGATTTTTGATTCTCATATGTATGTTTATTCCAGGAAAATCAGTGAGTATGTATATAAACAATAGAAACAATTTGTGTCAGTTTGGTGGAGTTACACCCCACACATGCAGCCAAATAAAGAATACCTGCTTTCTACAGGAAAACACATGAAACAGTTCCTCAAACATAGAACTGAAATGCACAAGGGAGAAAATGTTCACAAAATGTCAGTAAACTCACCCCAAGGCGCCAAGACCCATGAAATGGAGTCAGACAATTCAATTTAAACAGCAGAATATGACAGGCTCCTTATCTTTGCTTTGCAAAAGAACAACAAGTACAGTGTGTCCACTTAAGGCAATTCAGAACTGCCAGTCTCGAATTCCTGAATTATTCTGGAATAACGCATTCCTCAAGTTCCCCTGAAGCTGGGAATTTGTACTAAACACAGACAGGTTATGGAGCCATGACAAGCTAGCTCTGATGTTAGAAAACATCTCAGTGTGTGGACAGGAGCTGCACCACACACTGTAAAGTGAAATTGCTGAAGGAGCACAGTGGGTCCCAGGGAACTCTGATTCCTGCAGAACCTCATCTGAGGACATGGATGGGCCGACCCAGCTGCACTGGGATCACAGATCACTGCACTTCCAGCTGCCACATCACACATCACCTCATCCTCACATTCCTACTGAATGTTTATCACTGTGAATGACAGGGGAATTGGGTGGGGAGTAGCAGCAAATTGATATTTACTGACTTTCTGAATTATCTAAAGGAAATGCAATCAATTGTCATGCCAACATTTATTACTAATTTTATGCAATTAAGTAATTTCATGAAATGTATCTCTTACCATGCCAACAAAGACATTTCCTTCAAAGGAAAATGAGAGTGCTTCAAACCATGGCATAGATGGGCCTCATTAAAGCAGGGCTTCTACAGTTCTCTTTCTGTAAACCATGAAAAATTCCCATGATTAAGAGGGTTTTTTTCAAACCTGACTTTCATGGCAGTTCACTTGTGCCCTGTGAGTTCCACCTTAAAAAGCTTTTGAAGAGATTGTTTTATCTGCAATGGTTTTGTGCCTGTAATCAGGAAGTATTTTATTCTTTTCACCACTGCTGCTCCTTTAGAGTAGGTTTGCCTGAGGAGAATAGAAGCTCCAAAATGCAGGTGTGAGCAGGCTACTACGCCTGGAGAAATCAGAGCAGAGTTCAGATCTGGGATTTGAGGAGTCCCAACTGATTGGAAGCTGGAGAATGTTGTCCTGATTTTCAAGAAGGGCAAGAAGGAGGACCCCAGACACTACAGGGCTGTGAGTCTCACTTCAATACCTGATAAAATCACAGAAAAGTTTATTCTGGGAAGTATTGAAAAACACCTGGAGGACAATACAGGCATCAGTCAGAGTCAGCACGGCCTCCTAAGGAGAAAGTCTTGCTTGTGAAATCTGAGTTCCTTCTAGGACAGGGGAACCCACTTGGTTGATCCAGGAAAGCCAGTAGATGGAATCTTTCTGGATTTCAGCAAAGCTTTTGATAGTGTGTCTCCCAGAATGCTTCTGGACAAAGTCTCCAGCACACAGCTGGATAAACACATTGTGGATGGGTGAGCAGCTGGCTCACGGGTCAGGCACCGAGGGTGGCAGTGGCTGGGGTGACACCACGCTGGCAGTGGTCACCAGAGGGTTCTGCAGGGCTCCTCCCAACATCTTCCTTAACGACCTGAACACAGCACTTGAAGGGATAATCAGCAAATCTGCTGATGACACCAAACTGGGAGGAGTTGTCACTGCCTGGAGGGCAGAGAGGCTCTGCAGAGAGACCTCCCAAATATCAGTCACCAGCGGTGTGGAGTTTAACAAGGCAAGGGGCAGATCCTGCCCCTGGCTTGGCTATGGACTGGGGAATTGGAGGCTGGAGAGCAGCTGCGGGGAGGGACCCGGGGGTCCTGGCCAAGGGCAAGCTGAACATGAGCCAGCAGTGCCCTGGCAGTCCAAAGTGCCACCGCGTCCTGGGGCAGCAGCCCAGCATCAGCAGCCGGGCCAGGGAGGGGATTGTCACTCTGCTCTGCCCCGGGGTGGCCTCACCTTGAACGACACCGGTGAATTCTCTCGCCGTACGCGACAGCCTGGCCGTCCCGCTCCGAGACCAAAGAGCGAGAGTGCAGCTGCCCCAACCTCGTCTCTTTTACCTGCCCCCCATTCTCCCGGTATCTCTGTCCCCCACCCCCTTCGAGAGAAATTCCCAAAACCCAGAGGAGTTTCCCTTCCCCCAGTCATCAGTGCTTCTTAACAACTCAGTGGGGGGAAATTCCACGAGTAACAAAGAAACAAAAGGAAAGGGAAAAAAAAAAAAAAAAAACAAACAACAACCAACGGGTCACAAGGATGGGGAAGGGTCTGGAGGGGTCTGTGAGGAACAGGTGAGGACACTTGGTTTGTTCAGCTGGAGGAGACTCAGGTGAGACCTCGCTGAGCTCTTCAACATCTTCCCGAGGGGCAGTGCGGGGCCAGCAGCAATCTCTTCACTCTCATCAGCAGGGGAATGGCTGGAGATGAGTCAGGGGAGGGTTAGGCTGGATATCAGGAGAAAGTTTTTCACCTGGAGGAGGGCTGAGCACTGGAACAGGGTCCCCAGGGAAGTGGTCCCTGTGCCAAGTCTGTCTTGGGACAAGAAGCATTTGGACAACGCTCTCAGGCCCATGGTGGGATTGCTGTGGTGTCCTGTGCAGGGCCAGGAGCTGGATGCAATGATCCTGGGTCAGTGGGCGCCCCTTCCAACTCAGCACGTTCTGTGCTTCCCTGAGATTACTTCAGCAACCAGCACTCAGCTTTCACTCCAGAATAAAGCTGTTCCAGCCTGGTGAACACAGACATTCCACCCCTCCTAAGTAGAGCATCTACAATATTCCTTAACTTCTTTGGATGAAAGAAATTAACTGCATTTAAGCATCACTCTAACAATTCCATGCCCTTACTTACTGGTTATTTGTGTATTTTGTGCATCTTCAATTTTATAACATTATTCAGCATCGCTCCCTGGAGGAAAACAGCATCTACCCAGATTCCTAAGTTCTCCTGTGCTCACTCTCCACCTTACTGTTATCTCTGCTTACATGTGCAAAACCAGCTGCTGCTGACACAATCCTAGCTCTGACTGAAGGGTTCCCACCCAAAATGCTGCCTTCACTTCTGATGAGAGGAATGGCAGATTTGTCTTTACAAACAAGCTGTGGGGCTGCTGGTAGATAAAGCTAGCACTGGGAGATAAAAGAAACTGTGGGAAGGATTCCACTGATTAATTAATGGAAAAAAATATTTGCTTTTACAAATGAACTTAAGGTTTTCTGATAAATTAAATTAGACATTGATAGATGAAAGAAACAATGGGAAGAAAAAGCCCTAAGTTCCATAAGAATTAAAAATTAAAAAGAAGGATTATACATTAGAGGGAAATCTTTGATATCAGGCATTCTGGGAAGTCTGTACCTCTCAAGTACCTCAGAAATGGGGAAAGAGAGAAGTGAAATGCGGCCAGGAAATTGGGATAAAAAGGGAGGCTGAGTCCTCCAAAAATTGGAGAGACCCCAGGGGAATGTCCCATGGCCTCTCCTTTATTCAAATAAAGTCAAAGGACTCTTCTGTCTTCTTTTTGGACATAAACCTCTGATGTTTGTGGATTAATTTTCCTTATAATACCAACCAATTAATTCTGCAAGTTCAGTATGGAATCATGCCCAGCTGGGACTTTTGCCTCAATAGCATTCACAGAAGGCATCACCCTCAGGCCATGGCAAACAGGGTACTGGTGTGGGGGGAGGGCACCTGGCCAGGTCATGATGGGAAGAGTGGGGCCATGGGAGTTGGTTTGCTGCTAGAACTTTCCTATATTTGGTCAGGTTTCTGATTCTCGCTCTCAGTTGGCTCAGTACCTGGTACAAATAAGATCATGGCCAAGTTTGTGTTTGTGATTGGACCTTTGCCCTCAGACACCTCTGTCTATGCCTGACTGCCTTTGCCATGCTGGGTCTTTGGATCTTGTCCCCATCCACATTTGTTATCTTTGTCATTAAAGTTTTTATTTTCTGGGCAAGTTCATTGTGCCTGTTCCTCTGATTTATGCCACGCTTCCCCCCAGCTGAGCCAGACTTGGGATCACAGCCAGCTCAGAGCTACAGAAGAAATCTAAATTGGGTTTCTGCACCAAACCACAGCAGGATTTGTGCAGCTGGCCATTCAGAATATGAACACACAAACAAATCCATATTTCTAAAGGTATTTTACTTTTCATCCACCATTTTTTAAAGGCAGATTGCACCAAAAACCTATTATATCCTTGCAGTGAAGAAAGATGCTATGAGTTATTTAAACCTTGAGGTCCATTTAAAAATGGCACTTATTAAAGTTAGATACTCCTGGGTTTGAAGGTAAAGCAAAAATAAAATTGATCATTAGGTGCCACTTCACTAGACTGCAATTTTTGGAGAAAGAATCCACTCAAATTCCCTTTCAGGTGAAAATCTTGAAAAATCTTAAATCTAATTCTAGACAACACCAGCTGGAGACGAGAGCTGTTGCCAATTCTGAGTTTGGTTTCCAAAGCAATTGACCCCAAAGCCTGTGTTTAATTTTGGCAGAGTTTTGTTCAGCAGCTCTGAAAACTGGCCCTGCAATGACAGAGACATGTTTGGACCTGGTCACATCCCTTCAGCAGCAGCCCCTGACTGCACAGTGACAGCTGCTGCTCCCAGAGGAGAATGGTCTTTGTGGTCATTAGAAGCACAAGCACAAGCCCAGCCCAGTGCCAGCTGCAGGTGAACCCCAGCAGGGGAAGGAGGGATTGGTTTGGAAGCTCCTGGGTGTGGCAGCAGCTCTCTGGCTACAGAGAGAAGCACAACTTTCCCAGGCCTTTCTGGGAAAGGCTGTGAGAAGATCAGAGAAAAGAATGGGAAACAATTCTTATCTTAACCTGCTGCATCTGTTGTTGTGAACATGTGGAATGTGTTATGGACATTTGTTTACCAAAGGGTGGTTTCTTAACTAGACACTAGTGATAGTGTTTGGATTGGAGGACCAATTAAGTCAACCTGTATCATAACTGTCTAAAAAAGCAACAAGTTTCTCAATAATGATATGTAATAAAGGGATTGATCAGCCTTCTGTAAATCATGGAGTCAATATTAATTATTACCCGGCCAGAGGCCCACTACAACAACACCTGAGTGCCCTCAGTGGGGCTGGCCTGGAGCTGTCCCCACCCTGCCAGCAGTTGTGGGGCAGAAGCAGTGCCCGATGTGCCCCATGGGTGTTCGAGGTGGGGAAGGGCTGGGGGGGCAGCTGGGCTGGGGCAGGTGCTCTCCAGCTGCCCTGGATGGGGATGTGGAGCCCAGAACAGCTGATGGAGCCCCAGCAGGTGAGTGGGGCAGGGGCAGCTCTGCCTGTGCTGGGCCCAGAGAGGGACTGGGGGGCCTGGGCTGTCCCGTGGGGAATGGTTCCCTTTGGGAACACCAGGGCATCCCTGGAGGGCTGCTCTGGAGCTGGTGGCAGCTTTGGTTCCGGCCCTGGGGACAGGCCTGCCAGGGAGCTGGGGCCATGCCAGGGCACACCCACATCTCCCATCACTGCAGGCACTAAGGAGGGAGCAGCTTTTCCTTGCATTCCCAGCACCCCAGTTTACAGCCCAGCCCCAGCACTGCCCAGACACTGCCATCGGTGTCTCCCAGTCCCCTCCCAGATGATTCCTTGTGGCCCAGAGCCCACAGGATGGATCAGAGGGTGCTGGGGGGGCTGCAGCATTTCTCTATGGGAAAGGCTGCAGGAGCTGGGACCACTCTGCCTGAAGAAGGCTCAGGAGAGACCTTAGAGATTCCTCCAGCCCCTGAGGGGACTCAGGGAGAGCTGGGGAGGGACTCTGGACAAGGACATGTAGGGACAGCGCAAGGGGGAATGGCTTCCAGCTGACAGAGGCCAGGGTTCTGTTGGATCTTGGGAAGAAGTTCCTCCCTGGAGGAGGAATGGTGAGGAGGGTGGAGAGGCCCTGGCACAGGTTGCCCAGGGCAAAGAGAGGTTGCCCTGGAAGTGTTCAAGGCCAGGCTGGATGTGAAACAACTTCCCTTCTGGTGTTCTCATCACATAAGACCCCTTCCAGCAGGTTCTGTTGTTCCATTTTCCAAGTCCAGGGCTGAGAGGATCCCCAAGAGGGGAGGAAGAGCTGAACTGCAATTCCAGAGCTGGGATAGGCTGGGAAAGCATTTAGGACCAACTGCCTCAGGGATAACCATGCAATTCCGGAGTGTGCTCATCCCTGTGTTCTTCCAGGAGCTTGGACTGAGCCAGCAGTTCCCTTCCCACATGTTTCTTCAACAGGAACCTTCCTTGAGAGCCCCTGAGGCGGGTCCAGCTGTGCTGAGCTGGCTCAGGACCCCTTTGAAACGGAACTTAGGGAACTGCAGGAATCCTGCAAGGGGGAAGCTGCTCAGCCATGGCTCTCCTGTGTGTCCCTGAGTGGGGTTCATTTCTCTGTGCCTGATTTCTGAACGCCCATTTCACCCCAAAAGAGAATTCTTTTCTCTGCTCGGTTGGTTGAACACCTTTGAACATGAACAAATGTAACAGGAACCTGATCCCTGGTGGTGCTGTTAAATTTCATTGTAATCACAGTAATACATGTCCTAAGCACGAGCAATATGTTCAGAGTAGAAATAGATTTCATATGTTTCAGTCGATTTTGAAATTTGTTTTCCATGAAAGAACACCCCTTCTTGTCAGGATCAGAAGAGGCACCTCAGATGGTGCTTTGGAATAGGGCAGAGTACCTGCCCTCCTCATAGCAGGATTAAGTAGAAAAGGGGCATTAGATCTCCAGTGCAGGACTGTGGAAAGACTTTTTTAGAGACTTCCATTTTATTTAATTCTGCTTCCTTTTTAAAATTTAATTTTACTTTAATATAATTTAATAAGGTGTTTGAAATCTGTTTATCCCAATGCATCCAGTAAAGTTAAAAGAATGGAAGGCAACTAATTTTAATATATTGCCCCTTCGTGTCATCTTTTTTTGATGCTAAAATCCATGGTAAAGCATTGGCAGAAGTCACTTCTGGAAACAAAACAAAGCTGTCCTGGGACATTTTGCAAAGGCAAGCTGTGACAGGGATAAGGGAGGACAGCTTTAACCTGAAAGAG